TTTGCCTCGAAGAGCGCTTGCTTCCGCTGCGGCGCGCCCAAGCCGGCCGGCGGCGGAGGCGGCGGCTACTAACCGTGCGGCGCGCTGCTCCAGCACCCATGCAGCGGTCCAGGAGCGGTGGGGTCGGCGGATTCGTCGCTAGATGCGTTCCCCCTGTCTGAAGTCAGAGGCGCAAGCGGGCGCTGGTCAGACATCGGCAGCGAGGGTGTCTTGTTGTTTGTCGTCCGCGCAAACGTATCTGTGCGCACTCAACACCATGTTCCGCCGCGCGAATCCTGGCGGTGCGCAGGGGCGCCAGGCAGCCGCGCCCCACCACGCCCCAGCGCCCAGGCGGCACGGGGCGGCGGGGAGATAACCGAGTTGTCGCCGATTGCTGGTCATTCTGTTTCTGATGAGAGTAATGGAAATCTCTACGCAAGAACAGGACTCAGAGGAGATCGTTGGGGTAGAGATAGTAGTAAGATTAAGACTGGAGATCCAGGCGGATCTCTCACACACGGACACGCCCAAGTCTCGCCAGTAGATCCCTCCTGTCCGGTTCCCCATTTAAGACTAAAGATCGAAGATTGAGATTTGTGGTCCTTGCAGATCGCTCTGAGCAGCAACACGGGCCAAAATGTGGAGACAGGAGATGGAGAATGCAGAATTTATATGTAGATCCTAGCGCCCAGCCATCCGCCCCAGATGTGAGATCGAAGATTGAAAATGGAGGTCGTAGATTGCTGCCGGCGGCGACAGTGGCCAAGTAGAGATTGGAGACGAGAGATGGTCAGTGTGAATGAATCCACAGCGCATCTCCTTGAAGGTTTGAGCCCCCCTCCTCCCCCGGGCCCCCGAATCGAGATTGGAGATTGGAGATTGGAGATGGAGATCGGAGATCGGACTGAATCCGGCCTAAGATGACGACGTTGGAGATTGGAGATTGAAGATGGAGATCGGAGATCTAACTGGATCCCCGGCCTAAGATGACGACGCTGGTGGATGGGAGAGTATTGGAGGTGGGGAGATCGGAGCTCCCCCACACCCTAGTGGTGTGTGATAGATGTTTTTTTAAAAGGGTTACTGTGGTCTGTGCGCGGACGGCCCGGGGGGAGCCTGCGGCGCCATTTTAATCTGCGCTCCTCTTTATATGGCCTGCGGCGCCTGGCTTGAGCTTGGAAGTGTAAACGAGTCCGCCAGGGCGGTCTGCAAACGGAGCGCGCTGCGCGCGC